AACAATAAAGCATACCTCAGAGTGAAGCTGAAATTCACCTGAGATAAATTGTTCAATTTAAGAAAGATTTACAGGAAAAAAAGATGAAGGAATGTATGAAATTAGCTTGACAGTTATGATTTTGAGAACTAGTTCAACAATTTTGTATGTGATGACCAAAGCGATGAAATGAAGACAGTTAGTTTTATAGTGAATGACTATTCAGAAGTGATAAGTGTGTTTCATTCTGACTGACAAGACAGAAGCAAATGATAATGTTGAAAAAACGCTGAGAATTGTATGAAAGTAACTGATACATGAACGAAAGCATTTGAAATGTGTTCAGAGGAATGAGAAACTGCCGTGATGATGTGCACCAATGACCCAATGTTGTGGAAGTTGAACTAATAGTTTTGAGAAGTTTAAGTCTGATGTGAAAAATGCACCAAAGCGACTGAGAAAAACTGTAACTACTATCCAATGATAAAAAGTACATATCTGACACCATGTGGAGTGTCGTCTGCAGTACCATCAACGCTACAGTACCATTAACTACTATCCAATGATAAAAAGTACATATCTGACACCATGTGGAGTGTCATCTGCAGTACCATAAACGCTGCAGTACCATCACAGTTATCCCCAAACTCGCCCCAAGGTCTCTGTGTTTCACCGTCTTACATCAGACTCTGGGACTCTCTGCAGTCCACGGTTATCCAAGGTCTCCCATCGCCATGGTGCCGAGTCCATCTACACAGCACCAGGACTGTACCATTAACACTGCAGTACCATTAACACTACTGTACCATTAACACTACAGTACCATTAATGCTACAGTACCATTAACACTACAGTACCATTAACACTACAGTACCATTAACACTGCAATACCATTCACACTACAGTACCATCAATGCTACAGTACCATTAACACTACAGTACCATTAACACTACTGTACCATTAACACTACAGTACCATTAACACTGCAATACCATTCACACTACAGTACCATCAATGCTACAGTACCATTAACAATACAGTACCATTAACACTACTGTACCATTAACACTACTGTACCATTGACGCTACAATACCATTCACACTACAGTACCATCAATGCTACAGTACCATTAACGCTACAGTACCATTAACACTACTGTACCATTAACACTACAGTACTATTAAATCTATAGTACCACATGGTATTGGACCACAGGGAGAGACCACATGGTATTGGACCACAGGGAGAGACCACATGGTATTGGACCATAGAGAGAGACCACATGGTATTGGACCACAGGGAGAGACTACATGGTATTGGACCATAGAGAGAGACCACATGGTATTGGACCATAGGGAGAGACCCCATGGTATTGGACCACAGGGAGAGACCACATGGTATTGGACCATAGAGAGAGACCACATGGTATTGGACCATAGGGAGAGACCACATGGTATTGGACCACAGGGAGAGACCACATGGTATTGGACCATAGAGAGAGACCACATGGTATTGGACCACAGGGAGAGACCACATTGTATTGGACCATAGGGAGAAACCACATGGTATTGGTCCATAGAGAGAAACCACATGGTATTGGACCACAGGGAGAGACTACATGGTATTGGACCATAGAGAGAGACCACATGGTAATGGACCATAGGGAGAAACCACATGGTATTGGTCCATAGAGAGAAACCACATGGTATTGGACCAAAGGGAGAAACCACATGGTATTGGACCATAGGGAGAGACCACATGGTATTGGATCATAGAGAGAGACCACATGGTATTGGACCATGGGAGAGATGAGTGTTCATGACTGCAGAATGTCCAGGATCATCATAGTCCTTCTTGTTGAACACATAAAAGTAAAATGTATAAATATTGTAATTGTCTCCTTTAAAAAGAGATTGTCGTGTTTAACGTTTCAAAGACATGAGTTTATTCGGTGTCGTCGCTCGTCCGTCTGACTCTTCCTCTCGGAGAACACAGGCCTGAGCTGGTGTTTCTGTGTTTATGGGAGCGCCGCTGCCCCCGGTGGACGCTGGAGTCCTAGGAGCTTGTGGGACTAACTGTGGTTGTGTTTGGGGGAGCGCCGCTGCCCCCGGTGGAGTCTCGTTGTAAGAACATAGCTCTTGTTAATGAGGCGGCTACGGCCAGTTAGGGAAATGAAGCAGATGCTTAATTTTCCCTTTCTCCTCTCTGCGGTGGATTGGCTGACTTTGGAATATTATGCTCAAATTAGTGCTCTGAAGTGACAGTTTTTTTTCTCTCATTAAAACAGTGTCACAAAAGAATCAAAGTCTGTAAAAGTCTCCTCCCCCAGAGCAGAGCGGAGCGGGAAGGATACGGCTCTGTCCACGGCCAAAACAGCATTTCAATATTCTAATTGGGCCGGCTTAATTACGCCACATCAATGTTGTAGTGGAAATTATATGTGATTTAAGAGCAAATTAGGGACGGGAAATGATGCAAAATATGTTAATTAGATGTTATGAATTTTAATTAGATCATATCTTATGTTTTTCAAATCGTCTCTTTGTCCTTTTAGAGAAAATTGATCTTGGGCGTAGACAACACAAACAAAACAATAGGACATGTGTTTGCAGTCTCTATAACGCTTTGGGCTGATTGGCTGAGAGCTGATTAGCTGAGAGCTGATTGGCTGAGAGCTGATTGGCCGAGCATGTTGTGAGCCTGGAGGAACGCTTACATAAAAACATAATCACACCAGGACAGAGATGATTGAAGGAGAGAGAGACCTGAGCCGACGTGAGTCCAGGTCAGACCCAAGACAGAGGGAGCTCCAAGTGCTTCCAGCTCATATATACCTACAATGACATCACATCATTGTAGGGCGGCACGGTGGCTGAGTGGGAGGTCCTGGGTTCGATTCCCGGTCAGACCAAGGCCTTTCTGAGTGGAGTTTGCATGTTCTCCCTGTGTCTACGTAGGTTTCCTCCGGGTACTCCGGTTTCCCCTACCACTAAAAACATATACAATAGGTCTGGCATGTGCCTCCTGTACTGGCCCCTCCCATCTCCAGTGTTGCCAACTTAGCGACTTTGTCGCTAGATTTAGCGACTTTTCAGACCCCTATAGCGACTTTTTTTCAAAAAAGCGACTAGCGACAAATCTAGCGACTTTTTCTGGTCTTATTGGCGACTTATCTGGTGTTTTGGCGACTCATCTGGTGTTTTGGAGACTCGTGAAGCACGTATTGTTCTGCTGTCCTCAACGTGAGCCCCTCCCCCGTCCCAAAGCATTTACAGGCGGCCAGTCTCACAGTAGCCTTGCGCAGCAGTCCCAGCTACAGTCTATGGGCGGAGCAGAGAGAGAGAGAGGAGACTCAAAAGCACAGGAAGTTTTCAGGCTGCTGCAGACTGAACTCCAGCTCCACCACCACCACACATCCAAAGCTCCCCGGCCACTCCTACCACCGCCACCCCCCACTACCCCCCACTTCATCCGCGGCAGCTCTGTCCGTGACTCTGTTTTCTCTCAGTAGTGGGTCACATTAAATCATTTGTTATGCCAAACTATGAAAAAAAAAAAAAACTTACAAAAATAAACCTAAGTAACTCTGCCAGAGTGTGTCTTTTGGGTCACTTTGCCGGTCCCAAGCCCGGATAAAGGAGGAGGGTTGGTTGTAGAGCTAGCAATTTCACCCTACATAACAATCTTTTGATTACATTTGCTGTTATAACATTTAACAATACAGGACAAAACTGATGTGTGTAATGTGGATCTAGACAAAGCATTAAAATCATTAAATGTTGTTAATGTTGAAATTATTTTTGTATATTTGTAGTTCTAAACATATTTAGGGTGTTTTTACTCACTTTTGTCTCTCCCACGACCTTATTCCTCTCTCCTACAGCGTCCGTTACAGTTATTTGCAAATGGCAAATTATGCAAATTAGGCGATGACGTCATTTAGCGACTTCTAGCGACTTTTGGGACAGCCAATAGCTACTTTCCTTACTGAGGAGTTGGCAACACTGCCCATCTCTGTGTGGAGTGAGAGACAAGTGCCCAAAAATAAGAGTTGTAAACCGCTTTGTGACTCTGGTCTGTGAAGGGCGGTATATAAATAAAGATTACTTACTTACTTACTTACATCTAAGGTCACTCTTGATTGGTCAAAGGGGGTCAGTCAGGCCACAGCTGTCCTTCATGGAGGGGGCAGAAGACAATGACGCCATAATCACAGAAGCAACAACTGTTTTGAGAGCATTTGGAAAAGCATTTTCATTGTTCATGTTTTTATGGTTTGAAAGTTAGAGAAGGAAAATCATTTCTAAACATTATATGCAAATTATTACTATTATTATTTTGCTCGATGTGTCCTTGAGGCGCTGGGCTTGGACTTTCTGCAAGTGTAACATTTAACCAGCAGCACTCGGACAGTCAAAGGTCACACAACAGCAGAACAGATGCTCCGTCCGGCCGCACTGTCATATCACCACCAAGCAGAGCCATCACACCCCCACTACACCCCCACTACACCCCCTCCACACCCCCTCCTCCACAACCCCTCCACTCACCCTCCACAACCACACATACAGAAATCTGCTGAATACGTCCAGAATGACCCCAGAGGAGGAGAGAGCAGGTGGTCAGACCTCCCCTGCTCCTCTTGGCTCATTTATTTAATTATTTATTTTATGTATGTCTTTATCTATTTGAATGGCACAGTGCATGTCAATGAGCAGACACATTAAAAACATGAATGTAAATATGCAGATTTTAGCGTAATCTCATCTGGACCTGCTGGACCGGTGCCAGGGTTAAACACACGTAAAGAGGCTGCATCACATCTGCCACGAACGCCTAAAAAACTATTACAGGTTCCTCCACTAAAGAAACGCTCTAAACACAACAGCTGGGAGACACATCTGCCACTTGATTGGGGTTTCACTTGATTTGGGCAAAAAAAGGAGGAGTGATTATTCAGCAGATGTGGCCAGTGCGGCTCCATCACCGACACGGCGAGCTGTGTAAATAAGTTGTACATTAGCAGCGGCGTGGGAGCGGCGTGGGAGCGGCGTGGGAGCGGCGTGGGAGCGGCGTGGGAGCGGCGTGGGAGCGGCGTGGGAGCGGCGTGGGAGCGGCGTGGGAGCGGCGTGGGAGCGGCGTGGGAGCGGCGTGGGAGCGGCGTGGGAGCGGCGTGGGAGCGGCGTGGGAGCGGCGTGGGAGCGGCGAGGGAGCGGCGTGGGAGCGGCGTGGGAGCGGCGAGGGAGCGGCGTGGGAGCGGCGTGGGAGCGGCGTGGGAGCGGCGTGGGAGCGGCGTGGGAGCGGCGTGGGAGCGGCGTGGGAGCGGCGTGGGAGCGGCGTGGGAGCGGCGTGGGAGCGGCGTGGGAGCGGCGTGGGAGCGGCGTGGGAGCGGCGTGGGAGCGGCGAGGGAGCGGCGTGGGAGCGGCGTGGGAGCGGCGTGGGAGCGGCGTGGGAGCGGCGTGGGCGCGTGCGGCGTGGGAGCGGCGAGGGAGCGGCGTGGGAGCGGCGTGGGAGCGGCGTGGGAGCGGCGTGGGAGCGGCGTGGGAGCGGCGTGGGAGCGGCGTGGGAGCGGCGAGGGAGCGGCGTGGGGAGCGGCGTGGGAGCGGCGTGGGAGCGGCGTGGGAGCGGCGGGAGCGGCGTGGGAGCGGCGTGGGAGCGGCGTGGGAGCGGCGTGGGAGCGGCGTGGGAGCGGCGGGGAGCGGCGTGGGAGCGGCGTGGGAGCGGCGTGGGAGCGGCGTGGGAGCGGCGTGGGAGCGGCGTGGGAGCGGCGTGGGAGCGGCGTGGGAGCGCGTGGGCGTGCGGCGTGGGAGCGGCGTGGGAGCGGCGTGGGAGCGGCGTGGGAGCGGCGTGGGAGCGGGGAGCGGCGTGGGAGCGCGCGTGGGAGCGGCGTGGGAGCGGCGTGGGAGGCGGGGAGCGGCGAGGGAGCGGCGTGGGAGCGGCGTGGGAGCGGCGTGGGGAGCGGCGTGGGAGCGGCGTGGGAGCGGCGTGGGAGCGGCGTGGGAGCGGCGTGGGAGCGGCGTGGGAGCGGCGTGGGAGCGGCGTGGGAGCGGCGTGGGAGCGGCGTGGGAGCGGCGTGGGAGCGGCGTGGGAGCGGCGTGGGAGCGGCGTGGGAGCGGCGTGGGAGCGGCGAGGGGAGCGGCGTGGGAGCGGCGTGGGAGCGGCGTGGGAGCGGCGTGGGAGCGGCGGGAGCGGCGAGGGAGCGGCGTGGGAGCGGCGTGGGAGCGGCGTGGGAGCGGCGTGGGAGCGGCGAGGGAGCGGCGTGGGGAGCGGCGTGGGAGCGGCGTGGGAGCGGCGTGGGAGCGGCGTGGGAGCGGCGTGGGAGCGGCGTGGGAGGGACGGCGAGGGAGCGGCGTGGGAGCGGCGTGGGAGCGGCGTGGGAGCGGCGTGGGAGCGGCGAGGGGAGCGGCGTGGGAGCGGCGTGGGAGCGGCGTGGGAGCGGCGTGGGAGCGGCGTGGGAGCGGCGTGGGAGCGGCGTGGGAGCGGCGAGGGAGCGGCGTGGGAGCGGCGTGGGAGCGGCGTGGGAGCGGCGAGGGAGCGGCGAGGGAGCGGCGTGGGAGCGGTAGCAGTATGAAGCAGCAGACGCAGCATTTAGCAGGAGCAGCAGCACCACAATGAGATTCATACGAACAGCAGACGTGTCACGCCAGCGTGCGCCGCTTGTCTCCGTGAGCCAGGTTACATACGTGTCTGAAAGAGCCGAGCCGTAGAGACAGGTGCAGCCTGGGAGCCCGCGGAGCGGCAGCGGCAGGAACAGCAGCAGCGGTACATGTAGTAGTAGGAGCAGCAGGAGCAGGCAGCAGGGACAGACAGCAGCAGGAGAGGCAGCAGGAACAGGCAGCAGCAGGAGAGGCAGCAGGAACAGGCAGCAGCAGGAGCGGCAGCAGGGACAGGCAGCAGCAGGAGCGGCAGCAGGAACAGGCAGCAGCAGGAGCGGCAGCAGGAACAGGCAGCAGCAGGAGCAGCAGCAGGAACAGGCAGCAGCAGGAGCAGCAGCAGGAACAGCGGCAGCGGGATCAGGCATCAGTAGGAACGGCAGCGGGGACCGGCAGCAGCGGCGGTCAGAGAACCATGCCCATGGTTGTTTAAGAGCCTGAGGAAATAAATCGACCCGAATCCGAAACATCCCGTGCGAATAACAGACGTCCCCGGAGCCATCTTGCTGCTTTGGTTATGGCAGATACGCATGAACGATCACTGATCCATGCGTTCATTAGCTCCAACTCCACTTCGCACCCATTGCAGATTCACATTGGGCCCTTTTTCTTTCTGTAGCACTTTCAAAATGCAACAACTGCAGTTTAGTTACCTAATTTAATACCAGCGACCTAGCTATTTAAATGCATGGTTTTACTGCAAGTGGCAGAACATGAATCTGAATTAATGCACATTGCTCCTCTTATATCCCACAGACGATAGAGATTGATGCCATTTTATATGCATTGCCCCTCGGTTAGCTCAAACACGTGTGAAAACGGAGCCTGCAGACCAAGCACGGGGCGAAAAAACTGACGCCTGCAGTCAAGTGCGCAGCAGTGGAGACACGCAAACCACAGCAGTGCGGGGACGCGGAGGAGGAGCAGACCAGTGCAGGGACGCGGAGGAGGAGCAGACCACAAGCGGTGGTCTGCGGTGTCTGCGGCGGTGACGGTGCCTGCGGCGGTGACGATGTCTGTGGCTGTGACGGTGTCTGCGGCGGTGGCGGTGTCTGCGGCGGTGGCGGTGTCTGCGGCGGTGACGGTGTCTGCGGCGGTGGCGGTGTCTGCGGCGGTGGCGGTGTCTGCGGCGGTGACGGTGTCTGCGGCGGTGACGGTGTCTGTGGCGGTGACGGTGTCTGCGGCGGTGACGGTGTCTGCGCCGTTGACGGTGTCTGTGGCGGTGACGGTGTCTGTGATGGTGTCTCCGGCGGTGACGGTGCCTGCGGCGGTGACGGTGCCTGCGGCGGTGACGGTGCCTGCGGGCGGTGACGGTGCCTGCGCGGTGACGGTGCCTGCGGCGGTGACGGTGCCTGCGGCGGTGACGGTGCCTTCGGCGGTGACGGTGCCTTCGGCGGTGACGGTGCCTGCGGCGGTGACGGTGTCTGCGGCGGTGACGGTGTCTGCGGCGGTGACGGTGCTCGGCGGTGACGATGTCTGTGGCTGTGACGGTGTCTGCGGCGGTGGCGGTGTCTGCGGCGGTGGCGGTGTCTGCGGCGGTGACGGTGTCTGCGGCGGTGGCGGTGTCTGCGGCGGTGGCGGTGTCTGCGGCGGTGACGGTGTCTGCGGCGGTGACGGTGTCTGTGGCGGTGGCGGTGCCTGTGGCGGTGACGATGTCTGCGGTGGTGACGGTGTCTGTGGCGGTGACGGTGTCTGTGATGGTGTCTCCGGCGGTGACGGTGCCTGCGGCGGTGACGATGTCTGCGGCGGTGACGATGTCTGCGGGGGTGACGGTGTCTGCGGTGGTGACGGTGTCTGTGGCTGTGACAATGTCTGTGATGGTGTCTCCGGCGGTGACGGTGCCTGCGGCGGTGACGATGTCTGCGGCGGTGACGGTGTCTGCGGCGGTGACGATGTCTGCGGCGGTGACGATGTCTGCGGCGGTGACGGTGTCTGCGGCGGTGACAATGTCTGCGGCGGTGACGATGTCTGCGGCGGTGTCGATGTCTGCGGCGGTGACGGTGTCTGCGGCGGTGACGGTGTCTGCGGCGGTGACGGTGTCTGCGGCGGTGACGGTGTCTGTGGCGGTGGCGGTGCCTGTGGCGGTGACGATGTCTGCGGCGGTGACGATGTCTGCGGCGGTGACGTGTCTGCGGCGGTGACGGTGTCTGCGGCGGTGACAATGTCTGCGGCGGTGACGATGCCTGCGGCGGTCACGGTGCCTGCGGCGGTCACGGTGCCTGCGGCGGTCACGGTGCCTGCGGCGGTCACGGTGCCTGCGGCGGTGACGGTGTCTGCGGCGGTGACGGTGCCTGCGGCGGTGACAATGTCTGCGGCGGTGACGATGCCTGCGGCGGTCACGGTGCCTGCGGCGGTCACGGTGCCTGCGGCGGTCACGGTGCCTGCGGCGGTCACGGTGCCTGCGGCGGTCACGGTGCCTGCGGCGGTCACGGTGCCTGCGGCGGTGACGGTGTCTGCGGCGGTGACGATGTCTGCGGCGGTGACGATGTCTGCGGCGGTGACGATGTCTGCGGCGGTGACGATGTCTGCGGCGGTGACGGTGCCTGCGGTGGTGACGGTGTCTGCGGCGGTGACGGTGCCTGCGGCGGTGACGGTGTCTGTGACGTGTCTGTGACGGTGTCTGTGACGGTGTCTGCGCCGTTGACCTGTCTGTGGCGGTGACGGTGTCAGTGATGGTGTCTCCAGCGGTGACGATGTCTGCGGCGGTGACGATGTCTGCGGCGGTGACGATGTCTGCGGCGGTGACGGTGTCTGTGACGTGTCTGTGACGGTGTCTGTGACGGTGTCTGCGCCGTTGACCTGTCTGTGGCGGTGACGGTGTCTGTGATGGTGTCTCCAGCGGTGACGATGTCTGCGGCGGTGACGATGTCTGCGGCGGTGACGATGTCTGCGGCGGTGACGGTGCCTGCGGTGGTGACGGTGTCTGCGGCGGTGACGGTGCCTGCGGCGGTGACGGTGCCTGCGGCGGTGACGGTGTCTGTGACGTGTCTGTGACGGTGTCTGTGACGGTGTCTGCGCCGTTGACCTGTCTGTGGCGGTGACGGTGTCTGTGATGGTGTCTCCAGCGGTGACGATGTCTGCGGCGGTGACGATGTCTGCGGCGGTGACGATGTCTGCGGCGGTGACGATGTCTGCGGCGGTGACGATGTCTGCGGCGGTGACGGTGCCTGCGGCGGTGACGGTGTCTGCGGCGGTGACGGTGTCTGCGGCGGTGACGGTGTCTGCGGCGGTGACGGTGTCTGCGGCGGTGACGGTGTCTGCGGCGGTGACGGTGTCTGCGGCGGTGACGGTGTCTGCGGCGGTGACGGTGTCTGCGGCGGTGACGGTGTCTGCGGCGGTGACGGTGTCTGCGGTGGTGACAGAGTCTGTGGCGGTGACAGGCCTCTGCTGTGGCTCTGATCCACGGTTCAAGCAGGTGACGGCACACAGCGGCTCTCTGCTCCTGACAGCGTGTGAGGCCTTGGTCTTCGTCGCCGCAGAGTGGTTAATGATGTAGAGCCGGCGATGGCAGCACCACGTCCTGATTACCACAGACGACAGCCTGATGACAGCTCAGAGACGGCAGCATCATGTGACGCCCGCTGCACAACGCTAAGTATGTGTAAATGTGGTTATGGAGAGGGAGCAGAGACACACGGTTAATCCCATGATGCCAGAGAACTACTGGAAACATGAACGTGTCAAATGCACGGAGCACACTTTACAGATTAAGCAGAAGTTTAAACTGTCTACGTCATGGATCCACACACCGGCTCCTGCAGCTCATCAGGCTCACACTTAAAGACTGGACACTGCTCACCAAACAGCAACCACCTCCTCCACACCTCCTTTACCTCCTTCCCACCTCCACCACTTTCTCCTCACCTGTGCGGCACAGTGGCTGAGTGGTTAGCACTATCGCTTCTCAGCAAGAAGTCTTGGGTTCGAATCCCAGTCGGAACAGGGCCTTTCTGAGGCCCTGTTTATACTGAGACGCTGCGCAGACGTTTCCAGGCCATTAACAGAAACGACCTGGCTCCTAATGCAAACTTCTCAGCGTTCACATGAAGTTGAAAAACTATGTAGTTCTAGCGCCCGGCCAGTAGGGGGCAGAGAAACTTTACAACACTCACACGACCCCCAGCCCCGTGCCCAGCCCCCCTCTCGGCAGTGTACTCACTTCCTGTGCCAGACCCTCAGAAAGTACCAACATCATTCTGCATTTTAACAGCAGCTGCGAAAATGGAAACTGAACCTAGAGCTTCGCGTGGTCTCGTTTGGACGAACGAAGGAGTAGAATTATCCTCCGTGCCGCGCTGGAAGCCCACGAAGCTAGTTAGTGTGACCGCCGCCATTGTTGTTGATGTTTGTTCTCCGCTACTGCGCATGTCCAAATGTACGTGTGGGAGCAGCAGGAGGTGGGGGTCAGAGCAGCAGGAGGTGGGGGTCAGAGCAGCAGGAGGTGGGGGTCAGAGCAGCAGGAGGTGGGGGTCAGAGCAGAGGGGGGTTTCACACCTTTTCCCTTTTCGCTGTGCAGCGTATCTGAGCTGTCCCACTCTGAGGCTGGATCTGAACACTTACGTTTTCACCTGGAACACAGTCTTCGTATGAACGGTTGGTAGAAACCGACATCCAACTATATTGTTTTAGTGCCACATTGTCTCCGTGTAAACTCAGCCTGAGTGGAGGTTGCATGTTCTCCCCGTGTCTGCTACCACTAAAAACAAATACAAAAGTGCCTCCTGTATGGCCCCGCTCCCATCTCTGTGTGGAGTCAGAGACTATTGCCCACAATTGTAAACCGCTCTGTTCTGTGAAAGGCGCTATATAAACAAACATTACTTACCTCCTCCTTAGGGTCCCTCTGTTGCCACTAGTGTCTAGGCCCCGGGATCATGATCTGAAAGCACAGAACTACAAATTGCTACTTAACCTAACTACTACTAGTTACTTACTACTACAAACAAAACTCACAATAAATACATCTTTTGACAAATCTTGTCTCATCTTGTATCTCTCCAAGTCTGAGGTGAGGCTTAACCCTTTAATGGTTTCCTCTGGCCTTTGGTGGTCCCTGCATGAGTCACATTTTACATGTTTCACACTTTTGTCTGTTTCACAATAAAAGTGATTCTGTCTATGCCAAATGTGACATGGACATTTCTCCATCAGAGATCTATAAACTCTATCTCTTCTTTATCAAATTTACTTGAAGCTTGGGACTGAAATCTGCCTCACTGGGTCGTCTTTATCACTTGGTTTCAGACACTTTTACCATCTCAACCATTTGCGAAAGAACTAGGGGTTGAAAAAAATCTTAGAACATTGTTTTCTTCAAGGAGATGGAATGGAGCCTCCTGAGAATACTGCACTACGCTGTAAACATGAAATATATTTTTTTACATTTTTTTCTCCCCCGTCACGTCCTCCAAACCGTGAGGTCTTTTTCTGTTCCGTCTGGTGTTAGACCCGTCACACATGTCTAACAGCTGCTAATAAAGGATTTTGTCTGTGGGATAACACGACTAAAATGATCCGTGTAAATCTTCCCATGTGACCCCGACACCCTCAGCACAACACTATGTCACAGAATGGATATAATTGTAATAATGCAATTTGGTTTGGAGGCGGACTGAGGGAATAATTGGACTCAACCCCAACACTGTGACAGGCTAATGATTTAGCATGGCCACTGGCTATTGTGAGAAGCGGCGCTCTCAACGCTACTGAGCTAATTTCCTCTGATGACGGTCTTAGCGCGCTGTCTTTGTGTCAGTACAGAGGAGTGTGTGGCCATCAGGCAGACTCCACACTGACGTAACCCACCCACCCTCTGTCTCCTGCCAGCACCCACCGCCCCACACTCACTTACTCCACAACGTCTCTGAACTGAGGGAGAAAGAAAATCCCCGAGCAAGACAAAAGCACAAACAAGGCCCCGTCTCCGTTAGACTTGTCCAGATGCTGCAGAAAGAGACCAGAGCTGATGCCAAAGGACCCGGAGCATCAGGAGCAGGACCACTGAAGATAAAGTGACAACGGTTTGCAAATATAGTTGCTTTAAGGACGCTGTGAGCAGTTCATGATCCACTCAGACCAGACTTAACACTTTAGATTAGCCCTCGCTAATTAACAGATCATTTAGTGTTTACTCACAAACCCTAATCCTGACACTGACACTGACTGAAGAGACAGGCCTCCTCTCTGACAATGTTTAAAACCAGGTTAAAGACAGTTCTGTTTAGCTGCAAACAACTGAGGGATTTTATATTTTTACCTTTCTTTTTAATGTACTGTGATTATTAATGATTTTAATTTGTTCAGCACTTTGAGTTTTCTTGTGTATGAATTGTGCTATATAAATAAACTTGCCTTGCCTTAACACTGACACTAGCCCTGACATCGTTTGTTTAGTTTAGTTTAGTTTAGTTTAGTTTAGTTTATTTTTATTTTGAAACATGTGTGCATACTTCCTACATAAGCCGTAAAACAAAACCAAAATTTCTAATCCATTCACATGTTCAAAAGGGAGTAGGAAGAAGCAAAAGCTTATATGGTCCTACCCCTCATTTACAAAATACGTTATTTATGTGGTGTATTAGTTTGTGTCTGTAGAATGTCAAGAATCTGTTCATCTTAATCTAAATATTAATCTTAATGCAGTGTGGCCTGTTGTAACGTGCCTCTCCTGTGTGACGGACCTGTTCTTTAATTGTGAAGAAACTTAACGCAAAAGTAAACTAAAATTAAATAAATATAACTTATCTTGTATCTGTCCCGTCACTTTTGCATTTGTGGGTAAAAGTTCTACCTGTTCTCTGCCTCCATCCACCAGGGGGCGTTGTGGACAATGTTAAAGGCTAACCGTAGCCTCGCAGTAGAATAAAAACCCTCGTTATGCTTCATTAGTAATTGTCCAAGAGCATTGTGTCATGCTTTTGCACTGACGGGACATGAGTGAGCCGTGGTTCTGAATTATACACATTCTTCATACTTGACTGCAACCTTCAGATCGAGGGATTCTTTGAAAGAGAAAGAAGGAGAAGAAGAAGGTCCTTTATTCGTCTCACAATGGGGAAATTTCAGTTTGATGCATACACATACTATATATACAGTACATATATATATACACACATACTTATACACATCAAGGCAAGCAGCAAAGATAACTTCTGCTCTCCTTTTAGGCAAAGTGGGTTAAGTGTCTTGCCCAAGGACACAATGACAACAGACATCAGTGGGAGTCGGTGGAGAAGGTCTCGTTATGGCCTCGAACCCACGACCTTCCAGTCCAAAGGCCAATGCTCTACCAACTGAGCCACTGTCACATTTTATTGAAACCATTTGTATGATTATTAAAATGTCTCTAAGTTGATTGTTCAAAGGAAACCGTTAAAAGCTTTGTGTCCTTTTCACGTCCAGTAGATTCCGTCCCAGTGAGTTGTTGTTGTTTGCCTTTTGGAGCTGAGGCTTTCCATCTCCCAGACTCACAATGAGGAGGTAAAAGAGAAAAGAATGAAATGATGTCAAACAGAAAATACATCATTCTGAGGTGAAAATATCAGAGTTCAGTTTTAGCTGAGGCTTAAAGAGTTCCAGAGCTTTGCCCCCTGCACCGAGAAGACCGAGAAGACCGAGAAGACCGAGAAGACCGAGAAGACCGAGAAGACCGACCAACTATGACACACTCAGGACGGCAGGGGCTCGACTGTGCAGACATTTATACAATAATTTACAATTACAAAATGTAATAAAATGATCCAAACTTAGAAGATGTAGTCTCTGTAACACCTGGCAATGGTGTGTTCTTATTGGCTTTTTGTCCAGTATTTTTATGGCTCTGTTGTAGAGCATTCTTCTTCTTACCTTTATTTAACCAGGAAAGTCCCATTGAGATTAAAAACCTCTTTTTCAAGGGAGTCCTGGCCAAGAGGCAGCAAAATATACAGTTTAAGAATTACATACACATTACATACTCATTATAAAAAACATTTACAAGAGGTTGACTCAAGTGCTCTCATTTTGGACTTAAATTCGTTCAATGGAATAAGATCAGTTATTTTCCAATCTTTTTGCAACGTGTTCCATGTAGAAGGAGCAGAGTGAACAAATGCCCTTTTTCCCAGTTCTGAACGGGCAAATGGAACAGTGAGCAACAAATGATCATTTGAACGCAAACTATAAGAGCCAACGCTCCTCCGTGAGATTAGGTTACAGATGTAAGAGGGCAGTAGACCAAGCATGGCTTTATAAATAAAAGTATACCAATGACTCTGCCTCCTGGAGGACAAAGAAGGCCATCCCACTCGAGAATACAGCTCACAATGATGGGTCAAGGCCCTACAGTTAGTAATGAACCTCAGAGAAGCATGATATACAGTGTCAATCTTGTGTAGACATTGAGCAGACGCGTTCATGTACAGCAGGTCTCCATAGTCTAAAATAGATACAAATGTTGCAGTGACAAGCCGCTTTTTTGCTTTAAAAGAAAAACAAAATTTATTTCGAAAGAAAAAGCCCAATTTGAGTTTAAGTTTTTTCACAAGATTGTCTATGTGGGGCTTGAAATTCAGGGAGTCATCAAGCAATATACCAAGGTATTTGTAAGTGTGAACCACCTCTATGACTTTTCCTTCAAAAGTGGACACTGAGGGGATCGTTTGAGAAACCTTCTTAGTATTTGAAAACAACATTAGTTTAGTCTTTTCAGCGTTGAGGACCAGTTTTAGCTGCAGAAGTGTGTGCTGGACCACATCAAAAGCTTTCTGCAGAGATTCTACAGCTTTAACAGGGTTAATTCCAAAACAGTAAATTATTGTGTCATCAGCGTAAAAATGCATATTAGCGTCAGACACATTTTGTCCCAATTCATTAATATACATGATGAACAGAAGGGGTCCTAATATTGAACCCTGTGGCACCCCCTTGTGGACATTCAAAAATTCAGAACACAGGCCCACACATTTGCGACAGAACAACTGATTAGACAGTCAAACAAAGAAGCCTATGCTTTAAAATAGCATGATCCACAGTGTCAAAAGCCTTTGACAGATCAATAAAAAGGGAAGCACAATATTGCTTTTTATCAAGAGCAACAAGTATGTCATTTATCACTTTTGTAGCAGCTGTGATGGTACTGTGCTTTTTCCTGAAGCCGGATTGCAGTTTAGAGAGAAGTTCATTAGAGTGCAGGAACTCTTTGAGTTGATCACAAACAAGAGATTCAAGAACTTTTGACAATACACACAAATTTGATATTGGCCTGTAGTTACTTAAAACAGCTGGGTCACCTCCTTTTAGTAAAGGGCTAACAAAAGCAGACTTCCAAACAATTGGGATTTCTTTGCTTTGAATTGAAAGATTAAAAAGGACCGTAAGAGGCTGTGCTACATAGTCAGCTGCTATTTTCAAGAAGTAGGGCTCTATCAAGTCTGGTCCGGGGGTTTTCTGTGGTCTAGTGCTTTGAGAGCTTTATGCACTTCCTGCACAGTAAAAGGAACAAAATTAAAACGCTCTCCAGAAGACATTGGAGATTCTGTGCAGGGAGTCACAGGGGCTGCTCCTGAGAAGTCAAACAAAGAACCAGAAGCTACAAAATGCTCGTTAAAGCTATTTAAGACCTCAGTCCTATCATACACAGGGACAGAGTCTTTTAAGACACATTTTGGAAAAGCATGAGGTCTTCTGTTTACAGATAGAGACTTTATCACTTTCCAAAATTTCTGTGGGTTGTTGAGGTTTTCTGTTGTGACAGATAAGTAATATTCTGATTTAGCCTTTTTGATAAGAGAAGTACATTTATTTCTTAAATGCCTGAAATTAGACCAGTCAGATGGAGAATCACATTTCCTGGCTTTGGCCCATGCCACATTGCGTTGATGGATGGACTCTGACAATTCTGGGGAAAACCAAGGGTTCTCTCGTCCCTTGATTCTGAATTTCCGGATTGGAGCATGTTTATTTACAATCTTCATAAAACTTTCCTTGAAGTATGTCCAAGCCAGCTCCACATCTGGCAGCAGGCTCAATTGCCCCCAATTAACCAAAGACAAATCATGATGATACGCTTGTTCATTGAATAATTTTATATTTCTCTTGCAAATAATATGTGGTTTGCATTTGGGGATTTTAGTGTTCCTACAAGTAGCAACAACACAATGATCGCTCAAATCATTGCAGAACACACCCAATGTTGAGAATTTATGAGGGACATTTGTTAGGACTAAATCAATCAAAGTAGACTTATCAGGACTCTTCACATTTGGCCTTGTAGGTAGGTTGACCAACTGGCTAAGATTAATAGAGTCACAGAAAGATTTAAATTCACCAGAAGCTGTATTCAGCCAGTCCCAATTCAAGTCTCCGGCCAATAAGAGTTCATTATAATTTAATTTGGACAAAAGACGCTGTAAGGTTGATAATGCTTCCTTGGTGGCAGATGGAGGCCTGTAGCACCCCACGACAGTTATAGAGAGGGATTTAACTATTTCCATATTTAAAGCCAAAAACTCAATTTGCTTAGTAATAGACTCAGATAGAACAATTGATACATCAAATCTTGATTTTACATAAATGGCTACGCCACCACCTTTCTTGGGCCTATCCGTGCGATAAACATTGTATCCAAGTATGTTGATGTCATCATTAGAAGTAGATTTGGATAGCCATGTTTCAGAAATGATCACAATATCTGCATCTGTCGATTTCACCCAAATTTTGACCATGTCCATCTTGGGTAATAAGCTGCGCACATTAAGATGAACAAATTTTAACCCAGGCATAGATTTGAAATCAGCAGGGGTCTGGACACATTTCAGCTCAGGTCCAGGGTTTGGTTGCACATTTCCAGATAAAAGTAAAAGTAGAACAATCATAATCAATCTTCGTTTCACGTTACATTTTGAAGCAGTCTTTTTATATGTTGAAGCCAGACATTGCTTTTCCTTAAGTGAAAGAGAAAGATTATATAAAGCAAGAAAACCTTGAAGTTTTGGTAAAACCCCAGGCAGATTGAAGCTGAAGGCCAAAACAAAATGAGTCAGTGGTGGCTCAGGGTGACCTGCTGCACTAGTTTTAATGCCTCTATAGTAGGTTTCACACATGGTCTGCATAGTATTAGATGTACTCACCCAAGGAGCACTGCCCGGTCCCAAGTCCCACACAGTCAACACACACAATAAAGTCATGAAAAATACCATCCTCATGTTGAATGACATAAACAGATACTGTTATGTTGGATGTAGCAGGCCAAGGCCAGGTGGATGTAGCAGGCTCAAGCCTGCCTTTTCAGGCTCTAGGTGGATGCTGCAGGCTCAGGCCTGTTAGCCCAGGCTCCAGATGGATGTAGCAGGCTCAAGCTCCAGGTGGATGTAGCAGGCTCAGGCCGGGCTCCAGGTGGATGTAGCAGGCTCAGGCCGTGCTCCAGGTGGATGTAGCAGGCTCAGGCCGGGCTCCAGGTGGATGTAGCAGGCTCAGGCCGGGCTCCAGGTGGATGTAGCAGGCTCAGGCCAGGCTCCAGGTGGATGTAGCAGGCTCAGGCCGGGCTCCAGGTGGATGTAGCAGGCTCAGGCCGGGCTCCAGGTGGATGTAGCAGGCTCAGGCCGGGCTCCAGGTGGATGTAGCAGGCTCAGGCCGGGCTCCAGGTGGATGTAGCAGGCTCAGGCCGGGCTCCAGGTGGATGTAGCAGGCTCAGGCCGGGCTCCAGGTGGATGTAGCAGGCTCAGGCCGTGCTCCAGGTGGATGTAGCAGGCTCAGGCCGGGCTCCAGGTGGATGTAGCAGGCTCGGGCCGGGCTCCAGGTGGATGTAGCAGGCTCAAGTGTAACCCAGGTAAAAAACCATATATATATTTATATATATATATTTGTGTAATGTGTAAGCATAAAATAAGTTAAATATATTTTTCACTGCGCGCTGCGTGCATAATATACGTCATCACGTCTATCAGTCACATGACCGTCAGTAGCCATATTGACAGACTGTGTGGTTGCCGGGAGAAGCGGGTTGGGAAAGAAGCTGCAGGAGCCTCTGTTGATCCGTCGGCTGTGAGGGAAGCGTGTGTGTGCGTTTCACATTGGAGAACTGGCCAGGAGGTTCCGGATGGCGAGCTTAGTCCCGAACCAGAGTTGAGCTCCAAGAGAGGAACTCAGTCCAGTCAGACAACTGCATCCTCCTACTCCGGTCGGGTAGGAGGCTCCTGTAGCCGCCCTTTTTCCCTTTTGATTTGTCCTCGTGTTCAAAGTGAGGGGCTCACTTCATTTTGACTCACATTCACCCGTTAAAACTCACCCTTTGGAATATCTGAGCCCAACCAAACAACCACTCACTGAACGAGCACTTGGATTATATTTTTTTTTGTGCGCTTCGCGTACTCTGACATTTGTGCAACCGTTGAAGTAGACAATTCCGGAAGCCAAACAGAACTCATTGTCTATATATGTAAATTTCTTGTATGTCATTGTTTGTTGTTTGTCATAGTCTCTTTAAATTCAATACATGTGGGGGTGCCATCTGCAAAATTCAAGTGTTTCATTGTGTCTCTCTCCACTCTTAGAGCCGAACTGGGACTTCTGATTTTTAGCCCAGAACTTGATAGTGTGTGTGTCAAATTATTACCTGACCTGTAATAGTTTAGCGTAGCCACATGCTACATAATTCTTGGCGAGCTAGCCAGGAGTGGATTAACGTGAGACAAACATTTTTTTTTTGAAGGTTGTATTGTATTTGGAAGATATGGAAACATTTGAGAAACTTGGCATTAAAATTGCAAACTCAATCTTAGTCCAAGACGCGACTAAAACGGCTACCGATGATGAAGTTGTGGAATTTCTGAAGCGGTTTGGGTCTATCCGTAAGTGTGAGTGCATTGATGACTCTGAATCCCTGTTTCACCATTCTATTGTGGTTGAATACAGTTCAGAACAACCGCTCGTTGCTCTGCGCAAAATGTTGCCTTATACATATGATTGCGTGGACGATGAAGTTAGTTATAAGCTACTTGACTTGTCTCTCCTTCTCGCTGATGAAGTGGGAAAGATGCAAACTCTGATGTATTTGAACCAACTTGAGACTGTAGCGAAACAAACTGGTCAAGATTTTGCTGTTGTACTTAGTGGTATGATGCCTCTGCTTGGTCAGACTGTCAGCAGGCTCCACAGTACGACAGACGAAGATGGGAGTACTGAGGACAACAAGGATGGATTACCACCAATCCCCGCCAATGTCCAACCACCAGCTGCTGACGCGGATCCACCTATTGCTCCTGCTGGTGGCGCCAGAAACTTCCCTGGAAGCCAGGCCGAGGCCACTTTCCCGAATACACCCCGCCGTTCGCTACCAGCGATGTCTCAACAGGAATTGAATCCACCGCAAATTCAGCGCTATGTAGTTGAGCACATAGTGAAGAATGAGGACGGTATGGGACAGTATTCCAACCATCGCATCCGGGCCTTTTCTGGACGGCTGCCCCGACCGCAGAATGAATCCGACTATGATACATGGCGTTCCGGCATCGATCTCGTATTGAAAGACCCTGCAGTGTCTGACCTGCAGCGTTCACGGAAAATATTTGAAAGTTTACTGCCGCCCGCCGCTGATGTGGTGAAGCATTTACAGCCAGATACATCACCTTTTATCTATTTACAGACTCTTGATTCTGCATACGGCACTGTCCAGGACGGGGAGGAGCTGTATGCCAAATTCCTGGACACCTTTCAAGATGCTGGAGGCGGTTAGGAAAGCGTCCTAGTGCCGTCTCTCACCCTTCTGTGCATATCTGCGACTGTACCTGCAGAGGGCGGATTGAAGCTTAGAAACGTTAGGTCTGTATTGTCGTTGTGGCAAGCTTCACTTTGTCATGAAGGGATGGTGGGAAAGTAGCGTTAATGAAGGACATTGATAAGAAGACATTATGTTGGCCCACCCCATAGGTCTGCCGAGGCTGTATGGGACAAAATGCACCTCAATGCCGAACGACAGGTTGTGAAGGTCGGAACGAACAACGAGTGGTAAGGGAATTATGATTACAGCAATCTTTGCGAGATGTTTCTGATGTTACTGCCGAACCGAGCGTAGGGACCGTGTTGAAGCGCCTAAAAGTGGGATTCGCGTAATTGAATAGTGCTGGATCGTGGATTTCAACCTAGTCCCAGAGTTTGGCCCATGGTCATGTATGCATAGGTACATGCACTTACACCATGATGAGAGAGGAGGGAGATAGCCGCCCTCCTGACCCATGCTGTGACCCTAGCAGGGGGCCACTAGCAGCTAGCCGTCAGGTACAGAAGGTAGCAGCTTGCGATATGTGACTTACTGCCGGCCAATACAAGGACGAGCCCAAAATATGCTTCCAAGCGCACCTACGTGGCCATAAGGTGGGAAGGTCGGATGGGCAGGCATGAGTGCTCAAAGAACTGCCCCCCTTGTTGCCAGGCAATGGCCCGGTGCCTAACTTGCTACAGGGTATGATATTTGTGGGGTGGACCTGGGGGCTGCAAGCAAGCCAACTAGGAGCCAAGAACCCCGCTAGATCTGCGCGGGTGGCTTGCCATTGTAGTACAGTTTGCAGTAAGACAAGCCAAGTGGGATGTACACCACATTTCCCAGCATTATATGTTATAACTTGATTGCATGATTCTGGATTGAGGGGCAGCGCACAAACCGGGATACGGTTGTGGACCAACATACGTAGCAACGCAAGCAGATTATGTTTAAACGGGTGGGTGAATGGGGAGTTGTTCTGATGCACTAAGAACGTTTCCGTCGACAGGCTTAACAGGATAAGGTGTAATGGTTGCCGTAAGTTTGGGGGACAGCGGACCCTTCTGTAAACTTAAAGGTCTGTATCCGAAATGTATAGTTGGGGTCTCCTCGGAGACAGGGTATGGGAGAGTGACATTACCATGTCCAGGTTGTCATTTTGTTACATACTGCTAGTGCGCCAGGATCAGCGCTAAGCTTTAGCAAATTGTGTGTGACCTATTGCATATTGAGGGTGCTGCAGGACAAGCTGTCCCCTACTTGGGGTATGTGGAGATGATGGTCACGTTTCCAAGAGAGTTCCTGGGGGCTGATTTTGATGTGTCGACTCTGGCACTCGTTGTCCCGGATGTTCGTTTAGATACCCCGTCCCCAGTGTTAATTGGCATGAACACATTGGAGCCACTGTACAGCAAGTACATGGGGAGTGAGTGTGCAGATTTCCAACCTGAGGCCCATGGGTTCAAAGCAGTTCTTAAACTCCTGCAAATACGCCACCAGCAACAGGTGGGCACCAGTGGAGTAATAAGGTTGGCCAGCAAGTCCCCCATTCTCATCCCTGCTGGACACACCACCATCGTTGATGGTTCCATAAACATTGGCATGCCAAATCCAGGTCAGTGGGCGCTAGTGGAGCATCCAGCCTCACAACTGCCAGGTGGGCTGTGTGTTAAGAACTCCCTTGTTATGCTCCCAAGCCAATCCCACAAGAAGATCCCTGTCACTCTCACCAATGACTCTGATCAAGACATAACCATTCCACCATTCCTTACCATTGCAGAGCTTACGACATCTCCGCAGATCTTGTCCCACGGCGTACTCTCTACCCGCTCATCGTCTGAGAGATTGCCAAAGACTCTGAATTTGGATTTTGGAGAGTCTCCAATTCCCCAAGAATGGAAGAGCAGGATTGTCGAGAAACTCAATGAGATTCCTGAAGTCTTCTCCCATCACGAGTTAGATTTTGGATGCACGGACAAGGTAAAGCACACTATAAAACTTCATGATGAAACACCTTTTAAACACAAAGCTCGACCAGTCCATCCACAAGATGTTGAAGCAGTGCGACAACATCTGCGCGATCTGCTGGAAGCTGGTGTCATTAGAGAATCTGAGTCTCCGTTCTCTTCACCAATTGTTGTCGTTCGTAAAAAGAATGGAGACATACGGTTGTGTATCGATTATCGCAAGTTGAACTTACAGACTGTTAAAGATGCCTATGCCCTGCCCAACCCAGAGGAGGCGTTTTCAGCATTGACCGGCTCCCGGTGGTTCAGCGTGCTTGATTTGAAATCGGGCTACTACCAGATTGAGATGGACGAGGCGGACAAAGCAAAGACTGCATTTGTCACGCCACTGGGTTTTTGGGAGTTTAATCGCATGCCTCAAGGGGTAACAAATGCGCCGAGTACTTTCCAACGGCTAATGGAGAAATGCATGGGAGACCTCAATTTGCAAGAAGTGCTTGTTTTTCTTGATGATCTGATTGTATTTTCCAGTTCATTGGAAGAACATGAGCAGAGGTTGCTGCGGGTGCTTCATCGGTTGAAGCAGTACGGCCTGAAGCTCTCTCCGGAAAAGTGCAAGTTTTTCCAGACGTCGGTGAGATATCTGGGGCACATTGTGTCAGAGGAGGGAGTGAAGACGGATCCAGATAAGCTTCAAGCTCTGAAATCCTGGCCAGTTCCCAAAACACTCAAAGAGCTCCGTTCATTCTTAGGTTTTGCTGGCTATTACAGGAGGTTCATCAAAAGTTATGCTGCCATCGCTAAACCGTTAAATGACCTCACACGTGGTTATGCACCCACTTCCAAGAACCGAGCGAAGCCCAGTCCAGACAAGAGCTATGATGTGAAGCAGCCTTTTGGAGAGCGATGGTCTCTAGCATGCCAATCCGCCTTTGAAACGTTGATTGAGAAGCTGACGAGTTCCCCGGTCTTGGGTTTCGCCGACCCAAAGCTGCCATACATATTACATACTGATGCCAGTACTACAGGGCTCGGAGCGGCTTTATATCAAGAGCAAGAAGGGCAACTGCGGGTGATTGCTTACGCTAGCCGAGGGTTGTCACCCAGTGAATCGAGGTATCCGGCACACAAGCTTGAATTTCTTGCTTTGAAGTGGAGTGTGACAGAGAAGCTACACGATTATCTGTACGGGGGCCACTTTTTGGTAGTGACAGATAACAACCCACTCACTTACCTTTTAACATCAGCAAAGCTGGACGCCGCTAGCCACAGGTGGCTCGCTGCCCTTTCCACCTACACATTCAAACTGCAGTACAGAGCAGGAACTCAGAACCTCGATGCTGATGCTCTTTCTCGCCGCCCTCACCCTCCGCGTGCTGACGTTGTGGTACAAAAAGACTGGGATTTAATAAATAAGTTCACTCAAGAACACGTCATGGACCCAAGTGAAGTTGAGGATCTGGACTCTGATGTTGTGTCTGCCATATGCCACCGCTGTCTCGTCAACAGCCATCAAAGCAGCTCCACAGAGCGTCCAATCACCCTGGTTGAGTCCTTGAGTTTATCAGCAGATGCCGTTCCAGAATGTTATGCCAGAGAAACTGACAATGGTCTTCCGGTAGTCCCCACACTATCAAAGGCCCAGCTCAGAGAGAAGCAACGCGCTGATCCAGTGATACGGGAGGTCATCTATCAGATGGAAAGTGGAGAAAAAGTACCTCCTACCGCCAAGCATGAACTCCCAGACTTAGCACTGCTGCTGAGAGAACTTAACCGTCTTGAGCTACAAGGGGACATCTTGTATCGGAGAAGGCAAGAGAGGGAACAAGTTTCATTCCAGTTGGTGTTACCTGAAGAGCTAAGGTCGATCGTTCTAACAAGCCTTCACGATGACATGGGGCACATGGGCATCGAACGAACGTTAGATCTCGTGCGATGCCGTTTCTTTTGGCCTCATATGGCAGCTGATGTAGAGTCCAAAATCAGAACGTGCAGTCGTTGTGTCAGGCGCAAAGCTCTTCCAGAAAGATCTGCACCATTGGTCAACATCCAAACAACACGGCCCTTGGAATTGATTTGCATGGACTATCTATCACTTGAACCAGATCGAAGCAACACAAAGGATATTCTTGTTATTACTGATCATTTTACAAAGTTTGCCATAGCTCTTCCCACTGCAAATCAGAAGGCAAGGACCGTGGCCAAATGCTTGTGGGAGAACTTTATTGTTTGTTATGGTATACCGGAGCGACTACACACGGACCAAGGTCCTGATTTCGAATCAAAGTTGATCAAGGAGCTTTGCCATCTCGCTGGTATCCAAAAATCCAGGACAACTCCTTACCATCCCCGAGGGAATCCAGTCGAGAGATTCAACCGGACCCTACTTGGAATGCTTGGGACGCTGGCGCAGAAGCAGAAGGCGAGGTGGAAGGACTATGTGAAGCCACTAGTGCACGCGTACAACTGCACTCGAAATGACGTCACTGGTTTTACACCGTACGAGTTGATGTTCGGTCGTTCGCCGCGTCTTCCAGTGGATCTCGCTTTTGGCCTCCCTCTGCAGAAGAACCAGACGACATCTCATTTCCAGTATGTCGAAAGCCTCCGATCCAGACTCAAAGAAAGTTTTGATATTGCGGCCAAGAATGCTGCCAAATCAGGCGAAAGAAATAAGATTCGATTTGACAAGCGAGTGACTCCCTCCAGCCTGGAGGTAGGAGACAGAGTGCTTGTTCGCAATGTCAGACTTCGTGGGAAGCATAAACTTGAGAATAAATGGGAGCGTGATGTTTACACCGTCCTGAAACGTGCAGGCAACTTACCAGTTTACACCGTGTGTGTTGAGAACAGGGAGGGACCGATCCGTACCCTGCATCGCGATCTCCTCCTTCCTTGTCCGTTCCTGCCAGATGATGATGATGATTTGGAAGTTACAGCTATTACCCCACCACGTCGTCCTCAAACCCGAAGCCAGAATCAGGTAACTGAGGATTTGGATGAAGATCAGGATGAAGATGGAGGATGGGAGTTGCCTCAAGCTCAAATACAGCCAGCCTCATTTACATTCAGTGGTGTTTGTCCTCTCTCCAATGATGTGGCTGAGCTTGGAATCCGAGACCCCAAATCCTCTGCAGATGCCAGCCTTTCGCTTCCGCATATTGATTCACCTGTGGAAGAAGAAAACAACTTACCTCAAGATGGAGATTCCTCTGCTACCGCTGAAACACATCCGCTTGTGACTGAAGAGCCAGAGCCTGGTGAAGATCCAATATCTGAAGAACTCCTTATCGAGGAAACGACTGAAGAACAAGAGCTCCCTGGCCAAGCAGGGGCATCATCCAATACCGATGAGTCATTGATCAGTCCGATCGAAGCAGTTAGAGTACCTAATACGCCGGCCGTTACCGCAGTTGAATCCGATACAGTTTTGCGACGTTCTAGTCGACAGCGCCAACCGCCCGATCGCCTTCAGTATTCAGCATTGGGGCGTCCGCTTATTTCTGTTGTACAGACACTCTTTCATGGGTTGCTTGATGCGTACAGCAGTGCACTTCCTACCTCTGTAGCATCCGATCTGTTGCGTCCTCCTGTTTATGATGTTTAGCCATGCATCGGGAGTTGCATGATTTTAGAGGGGGAAGATGTAACCCAGGTAAAAAACCATATATATATTTATATATATATATTTGTGTAATGTGTAAGCATAAAATAAGTTAAATATATTTTTCACTGCGCGCTGCGTGCATAATATACGTCATCACGTCTATCAGTCACATGACCGTCAGTAGCCATATTGACAGACTGTGTGGTTGCCGGTAGAAGCGGGTTGGGAAAGAAGCTGCAGGAGCCTCTGTTGATCCGTCGGCTGTGAGGGAAGCGTGTGTGTGCGTTTCACATTGGAGAACTGGCCAGGAGGTTCCGGATGGCGAGCTTAGTCCCGAACCAGAGTTGAGCTCCAAGAGAGGAACTCAGTCCAGTCAGACAACTGCATCCTCCTACTCCGGTCGGGTAGGAGGCTCCTGTAGCCGCCCTTTTTCCCTTTTGATTTGTCCTCGTGTTCAAAGTGAGGGGCTCACTTCATTTTGACTCACATTCACCCGTTAAAACTCACCCTTTGGAATATCTGAGCCCAACCAAACAACCACTCACTGAACGAGCACTTGGATTATATTTTTTTTTGTGCGCTTCGCGTACTCTGACATTTGTGCAACCGTTGAAGTAGACAATTCCGGAAGCCAAACAGAACTCATTGTCTATATATGTAAATTTCTTGTATGTCATTGTTTGTTGTTTGTCATAGTCTCTTTAAATTCAATACATGTGGGGGTGCCATCTGCAAAATTCAAGTGTTTCATTGTGTCTCTCTCCACTCTTAGAGCCGAACTGGGACTTCTGATTTTTAGCCCAGAACTTGATAGTGTGTGTGTCAAATTATTACCTGACCTGTAATAGTTTAGCGTAGCCACATGCTACACAAGCCTGCCTGTTCAGGCTCTAGGTGGATGCTGCAGGCTCAGGCCTGTTAGCCCAGGCTCCAGATGGATGTAGCAGGCTCAAGCTCCAGGTGGATGTAGCAGGCTCAGGCCGGGCTCCAGATGGATGTAGCAGGCTCAGGCCGGGCTCCAGATGGATGTAGCAGGCTCAGGCCGGGCTCCAGGTGGATGTAGCAGGCTCAGGCCGGGCTCCAGGTGGATGTAGCAGGCTCAGGCCGGGCTCCAGGTGGATGTAGCAGGCTCAGGCCGGGCTCCAGGTGGATGTAGCAGGCTCGGGCCGGGCTCCAGATGGATGTAGCAGGCTCGGGCCAGGCTCCAGGTGGATGTAGCAGGCTCAGGCCGGGCTCCAGATGGATGTAGCAAGCTCAGGCCGGGCTCCAGGTGGATGTAGCAGGCTCAGGCCGGGCTCCAGATGGATGTAGCAGGCTCAGGCCGGGGCTCCAGATGGATGTAGCAGGCTCAGGCCGGGCTCCAGATGGATGTAGCAGGCTCAGGCCGGGCTCCAGATGGATGTAGCAGGCTCAGGCCGGGCTCCAGGTGGATGTAGCAGGCTCAGGCCAGGCTCCAGGTGGATGTAGCAAGCTCAGGCCGGGCTCCAGGTGGATGTAGCAAGCTCAGGCCAGGCTCCAGGTGGATGTAGCAGGCTCAGGCCGGGCTCCAGATGGATGTAGCAGGCTCAGGCCGGGCTCCAGATGGATGTAGCAGGCTCAGGCCAGGCTCCAGGTGGATGTAGCAAGCTCAGGCCAGGCTCCAGGTGGATGTAGCAGGCTCAGGCCGGGCTCCAGATGGATGTAGCAGGCTCAGGCCGGGCTCCAGGTGGATGTAGCAGGCTCAGGCCAGGCTCCAGGTGGATGTAGCAGGCTCAGGCCGGGCTCCAGGTGGATGTAGCAGGCTCAGGCCAGGCTCCAGATGGATGTAGCAGGCTCAGGCCGGGCTCCAGATGGATGTAGCAGGCTCAGGCCGGGATCCAGATGGATGTAGCAGGCTCAGGCCGGGCTCCAGGTGGATGTAGCAGGCTCAGGCCGGGCTCCAGATGGATGTAGCAAGCTCAGGCCAGGCTCCAGATGGATGTAGCAGGCTCAGGCCGGGCTCCAGGTGGATGTAGCAGGCTCAGGCCAGGCTCCAGATGGATGTAGCAGGCTCAGGCCGGGCTCCAGATGGATGTAGCAAGCTCAGGCCGGGCTCCAGATGATGGATGTAGCAGGCTCAGGCCGGGGCTCCAGATGGATGTAGCAGGCTCAGGCCAGGCTCCAGGTGGATGTAGCATGCTCAGGCCTGTTAGCCCAGGCTCCAGATGGATGTAGCAGGCTCAAGCTCCAGGTGGATGTGGCAGGCTCAGGCCAGGCTCCAGGTGGATTCTAGGAGTCTCGGGCCAAGCCCCAGGTGGATGTAGGAGGCTCAGGCCAGGCTCCAGGTGGATGTGGCAGGCTCAGGCCAGGCTCCAGGTGGATGTAGCAGGCTCAGGCCTGTTAGCCCAAGCTCAGGGTGTGGGAGAGGCTAAGTTAAACTCATTAAAGGTCCACAATTCACAATTCTCAAGAGCTTGTGAAGAAGTTTCAATAAAAAATACATTAAACTGTAACTTTAAAAAGAATTAAAAGCAGTAAAAATCCATTAAAACGAGTTAGTCCAGAGAGAGACACTGAGCAGACAGTGGACATGCTGCCTTACTGGTTTGATGGAAGATGCTGTGGCCTGGGACCAGCAGGTGATACAGTAACTTATCTGAGAAAGATCTTGGCTGCGTTGAAAGGTAAACAATCTCTGATGAATCTTAAACTATATAAACTTGATTTAGTCGCTTCTACAATCTTGTCAATGTGACTGTCAAATCGCAAGTGAGAGTCCAGAATTAGGCCTAAATGTGTAGCCTGTACATTTTTAGGGGTAAGTTCTCAGCGGGACGTGTTCTAGATGAAAAACAGACAGATTTTGTTTTACTGACATTTAAAGTGAGACCAGAATTTTGAGCCTCTAGAATAGATGGTGCTGTAGCTGTGCAGTAATGGTTTCAATTGTTTTGCCACTTACATAAACAACTGCATCGTCTGCATACAGCTGGATACCTGCTCCTGGGCATGCGTTTGGTAAGTCATTAATGTAAAGTGTAAAGAGAAGTGGGCCCAATATTGATCCCTGCGGGACTCCTGATTTTAAAGTTAAAAAGGATGACTTTTCATTATTGATTATCACACACTGTTGTGTTTCAGTTGAGTTCTGTGGCCCAAACACAAATTACAGAGGATGCAGTAGTTTACTGAGGTTTGTTGAAGTTTGTCGAGGTTTGCTGAGGTTTGTTGAGGTTTGCACCATGTGTCTCTCTGAACCATGTGTCCCTCTGAACCATGTGTCTCTCTGGCCCCAGAATCAATGCTCTGAGTTCCCCAAAGATCCTCTTTCAGCCTCTATCAATTATTCAGACGCCTCTTTTGTTCCATCACTTCTATTTACAAAGACTGTCTGGCCAGTCTCACCTTCAGCTCTGCATGTTATTATCATTTAACACTTTCCAGAAGAGAGAGAGAGAGAGAGCAGAGAGAAGAGAGAGAGAGAGAAGAGAGCAGAGAGAAGAGAGAGAGAGAGAGAGAAGACAGAGAGAGAGAGAGAGAGAAGAGAGCAGAGAGAAGAGAGAGAGAGAGAGAAGACAGACAGAGAGCAGAGAGAAGAGAGAGAGAGAGAGAGAGAAGAGAGAGAGAGAAGAGAGCAGAGAGAGAGAGAGAGCAGAGAGAAGAGAGAGAGAGAGAGAAGAGAGAGAGAGAGAGAAGAGAGCAGAGAGAGAAGAGGTGACTTCATATTCTCTCAGCAGCTGGGTCCCTATGAAGGGTCAGGGTCTCTCTGTGGATGAACAAACCAATCTCAGACGGTGGAGTCACACAAAGCCCCAGATGGAGGCCGTGTTCAAATAAAGATAATATAGATCAGAATAAACACTAAACTTTAGCAGACACAGGTTCATCACAGGTTCATCACAAGTTCATCACAGGTTCATCACAGGTTCATCACAGGTTCATCACAGGTTCATCACAGGTTCATCACAGGTTCATCACAGGTTCATCACGGGTTCATCACGGGTTCATCACAGGTCCATCACAGGTTCATCACAAGTTCATCACAGGTTCATCACAGGTTCATCACAGGTTCATCACAGGTTCATCACAGGTTCATCACGGGTTCATCACGGGTTCATCACAGGTTCATCACAAGTTCATCACAGGTTCATCACAGGTTCATCACGGGTTCATCACAGGTTCATCACAGGTTCATCACAGTTTCATCACAGGTTCATCACAGACAGGATCCATGTATTTTGATTTTCTTTTGGATCCATGAAGAAGTGTTGGATTCAGACAGAAGTAGATTTAAAACAGTTCATATCAAGAGCGTGATCAGTGAGAGGAATGTGTCAGTATGGTGTCTGTATGGTGTCAGTATGGTGTCAGTATGGTGTCAGTATGGTGTCTGTATGGTGTCAGTATGGTGTCAGTAGCGTGTCAGTATCGTGTCAGTATCGTGTCAGTATCGTGTCAGTATCGTGTCAGCAGCGTGTCAGTATCGTGTCAGTATGGTGTCTGTATGGTGTCAGTATGGTGTCAGTATGGTGTCTGTATGGTGTCAGTATGGTGTCAGTAGCGCGTCAGTATGGTGTCAGTATGGTGTCAGTATCGTGTCAGTATCGTGTCAGTATCGTGTCAGTATGGTGTCTGTATGGTGTCAGTATGGTGTCAGTAGCGCGTCAGTATGGTGTCAGTATGGTGTCAGTAGCGTGTCAGCAGCGTGTCAGTATCGTGTCAGCAGCGTGTCAGTATCGTGTCAGTATCGTGTCAGTATCGTGTCAGTATCGTGTCAGTATCGTGTCAGTATCGTGTCAGTATCGTGTCAGTATCGTGTCAGTATCGTGTCAGTATCGTGTCAGTATGGTGTCAGTATCGTGTCAGTATCGTGTCAGTATCGTGTCAGTATCGTGTCAGTATCGCGTCAGTATCGTGTCAGTATCGTGTCAGTATCGTGTCAGTATCGTATTTATGGATGTTTCTGTCGATGTGGGAAGTGTAAAAACTGTCTGTGACCCGGGTTTAAAAACACTAGATTAAAGCAAAACAAAAGCTAAAAACCTTTTCCGCAGAGATGGAGCCTTGAACCGTTCCACAGTCACAGACGTACTTCACTTCAGTTCTTCTGTTTCCCAAACTGTGTCTGGGCTCATGTTCCTGTTGTAAACATCCCGAGGAGTCGCAGCAGCTGTGGAACTAATGGTTTGTGTGTTTGATCCTCCTTGTTCTGTCTCTCGGCCGACTCCATCCTTCACCTGCCAAACAAATGCACCAGGACACAGTCTCCCACACTCCACACACAGCGGCGGAAAAGAAACACCACCGTTCATTTGGAGTTGGGCGTGGATTACGAAAAAAATGCTCTTATTCACAGCTAGCTCATGGTTAGCTGTAGTTTATGACGTCTGCAGAGAACAACAATGGTTTACAGTTAGCATCCCCCACGCACAGGATGGAGAGAGGGTAGAAGAGACACGTGTTTCAGAAGGTAACTGTGGAAGCCAAATGGGAAATCTATATTTAGTATTCTGCCACTGTGCATTTACATCCATGACAACATAAACAAGCTATTATTATTAAAATGACTGTATTATCCTATAGGAGCCCGGGGCCATGATACTGCTCTGTGTTTAGTGACAGAGCATTGTCATGACTGTGATGCTATTGCTTCAGTCGGAAAATCTGTCTGAGTCACTGCTTTTCTTTGGGATTGAAATGATTTGGTGCGACAAGGCTATACATACGACCACAATGTTATCTCACATTCTTTCAAATGAAGCTTCTCACGTGAAATTGTCCTATCAATGCAAAGAAATATAAACTCTCTCCAGATCTATCCATGTCCACATTGCACAAAGGTGACCATCATGGAAAAATGATACAACACACACACACACACACACACTCACACATACAAACACACACACACAGACACACACACACACTCACTCATACAAACACACACACACACTCACACACACACTCACACACACACACACACACACACACAGCCTGTTTTATCAGCACCGCTCACATTGGCCAACAGAGACGCCAGCCCTGCCAAACCTGCTAGGCTACGTGGCCGTGCTAATGTAGCCCGCTAGTCCAACAATAGCCCAGGTCAAAGGAGCCTCCAGTGGCTAATTGCTCGTGTGAGATAAGTGGGTTTGACGATGCAGCGAGGAGCAGGAAGAACCCTAATGAATTCTCCGCTCACTGCAGCATCAATATCAGCAGCTGCAGACCCGGCTCCGGCTGAACGTTGTCATCGTGGCGTTCTTTGACTGGGTTGTAATTGCTGGTGTTGAGGGGTCTCTTTCATTCATCCCCAATCACTCGTTAGCTGCAGCCAATCAGACTCTAACAGTGTCTTTAATTCTTCTGCTGTGTCAGATGCACTTTGGCTGCTTTCTTATTTGTTGTTTAATAAAAGTGCTACAGTGACATCACTTCCTTCCCGTTTTGAGCTGACAAATTGTAAATAGAAATTAATTTGTAAATACATATTGGTACAACACATGGTGAAACTAGGGCACATATTGTTGCTTGATTGTATTTTTATGTTTATACATTTGCATTTGTTTATGGATAAGTACAGTATATACTGTGAACACAGAAGGCAACATGTATAAAAAGTCACGTAAACTAAGGAATGTAAATATTGTAAACACTTATGATTCTAAAATCTCTGCTCGAATTAATAAAATCAATCACTTCCTCTGATTCTTCTCCCACTGAGTTTAGAAAAACTGTGATCCAGGACACTGGACATTGGTCTCTCCCTATGGTCCAATACCATGTGGTCTCTCTCTATGGTCCAATACTATGTGGTCTCTCCCTATGGTCCAATACTATGTGGTCTCTCTCTATGGTCCAATACCATGTGGTCTCTCTCTATGGTCCAATACCATGTGGTCTCTCTCTATGGTCCAATACTATGTGGTCTCTCCCTATGGTCCAATACTATGTGGTCTCTCTCTATGGTCCAATACCATGTGGTCTCTCTCTATGGTCCAACACTATGCGGTCTCTCCCTATGGTCCAATACCATGTGGTCTCTCCCTATGGTCCAATACCATGTGGTCTCTCTATGGTCCAATACTATGTGGTCTCTCTCTATGGTCCAATACCATGTGGTCTCTCTATGGTCCAATAGTATGTGGTCTCTCCCTATGGTCCAATACCATGTGGTCTCTCCCTATGGTCCAATACCATGTGGTATCTCTCTATGGTCCAATACCATGTGGTCTCTCCCTATGGTCCAATAACATGTGGTCTCTCTCTATGGTCCAATACCATGTGGTCTCTCCCTATGGTCCAATACCATGTGGTCTCTCTCTATGGTCCAATACCATGTGGTCTCTCCCTATGGTCCAATACCATGTGGTCTCTCCCTATGGTCCAATACCATGTGGTCTCTCCCTATGGTCCAATACTATGTGGTCTCTCCCTATGGTCCAATACCATGTGGTCTCTCCCTATGGTCCAATACCATGTAGTCTCTCTCTATGGTCCAATACCATGTGGTCTCTCCCTATGGTCCAATACCATGTGGTCTCTCTCTATGGTCCAATACCATGTGGTCTCTCCCTATGGTCCAATACCATGTAGTCTCTCTCTATGGTTCAATACCATGGGGTCTCTCCCTATGGTCCAATACCATGTGGTCTCTCTATGGTCCAATACCATGTGGTCTTTCCCTATGGTCCAATACCATGTAGTCTCTCTCTATGGTCCAATACCATGTAGTCTCTCTCTATGGTCCAATACCATGGGGTCTCTCCCTATGGTCCAATACCATGTGGTCTCTCTCTATGGTCCAATACCATGGGGTCTCTCCCTATGGTCCATTGCACCCAAGTTTTCCTGATCTTCCTCATCTTCTAAAACTGTAATAACTTTATAGTATATTTGTATTAACCGAAGATGTCCGTCCGTTTTCTTCCACTTCATCCGTTGCCGGGTCGCAGATGGTCATACTATAAAGCACAGACTCTCTTTATAGTACGGTCACACACCAGTGAAGGAGCTGTTCTGAAGGTGAATTATTTGTGTGAATATTGCAAACATTCTGAGAATAAAAGTGTGATAATGTGATGGAGAAGTGCGGCTCAGACTCAGGGAAGTGGAGTCGCTGATCTGACAGATGTTGGTTTGAGTTGATTTGTCCGACGCAAAGTGACGGAGACGAGACAGAGCGAAGAACCCGATAAGACTGATCCCATCCTCTTCATCAGTTAATCTGCTGCTCTTTTATCAAATCAACGTCAGGAGCGAGCTGACTCAGGTTGTCACACATTTCCGCTCCATCTGCACATTACTATTCTCAGTGAACACGAAGCCTGTACCTGTGTTTCAGACTGAGCTCCGGGCTAATACAAATTGGACTTGGCAAAGCAATGATGCATAAGCCGAGGCAATCGGGATTTTTCCCTTTATTGGATTCCCGCACATAAGCTGCTTCATGTGATGATGGATGATCAACGGGCCCAAGGTTGAATTGTTTAAGAACTAGACACGCAAAATTCTGACATGAGATAAGATAAGATAAGATAAGATAAGATCAGATAATAGATCCATCCCACAGACAAAAACGTGCAGGCCCACTACTGGAGGAAATGGGTGGAGTCTGCTGTGCTCCTGCTTGGTTGGAATGAAAACCTGCAGTCACTCTGGCCCTGTGAAAACCGGTTTGATTCCACGGATTTGGACCAAGTTTACTGAGTATGTGTCAAACCCATAGACTGTAAATATATTAAAGATGTGGTCACAGCTGTCTGCGCCGTTGAAAATAATGTGACATCACTTTCGCCGTCTATTGGCAGTTTCAAAATGGCCGCAGGAGCTGACGCTCAAATGTGTGAAAAAACACATTTGAGCGTCAGCTGCATTAGCCTCATTCATTTAACGAATTCAAAAGTTCACAGCGGCTAAACTAGACTGGTCCAAAAACATACACTCCCCTCAGACAGAATCTGAAACCAAGAGGACCAAGAACCACTTTTGGACCAAGACCCACTTTTGGACCAAGAACCACTTTTGGACCAAGAACCACTTTTGGACCAAGAACCACTTTTGGACCAAGAACCACTTTTGGACCAAGAACCACTTTTGGACCAAGACCCACTTTTGGACCAAGACCCACTTTTGGACCATCCTGTAAAGACGTTTTCGAGAGGTAAGAAGATATGTACATTAACATTCAATAATTCTTATTCCAGGTCTGCCCCCGTAGGCCTGGGGTGGTACTGCAGCATGTCAGGGCACGTCATTTTGGACATTTTTGAGTCGGGACACGCCCACTCTGGTCGAACCCCATCCCTGAGGCCATACATCCTGTTTTATCCTGTCCTTAGCTTGTGTCTGGCTGCAGAGCTGGGTGCTTCCTGGTCCTGGTCTGCTTTCCCTCCTGTGATTATTGGTCCTTGTGTGTTGCACCTGGGTCCCATTGTGTTCATAAACCTCCTCTTCCCATTGTTCTGAGACACATTGTTTTGTGTGTGTCAACTTTATAGCCTGGAGCTTTTGAAAGTCAGTATATTAGAAAGTAAGTAAGTAAATGCAACAGTCCTGATTCTGAACTGTGTCATAGTCTGAACATGTAGTTTGGCTTTTGCAGACTGTTAGAGAAGAACAAGTGTGTATTCCATTTATTTATCAAACACTTTTAGGATTGGAAGAATTCTTGATTATCTGACACGTTTGTTTAACCTCTGTCTGAAGATCACACGGCGCCGCTTTTCAAACCTGTTTGTAAAACTGAACTCATCAACAAGACTTTTCAATATTTTGCACCTCAGAATGTTGATCATTTTCACCAAATTGGAAACTCTGGAGCCACTTTTGCATTTTAAATAACAAGATAAATGAGGTGATCGGTGGACAGCTGTTTAAAGGTTTCTCTTATCTACAAACTAAATGTGTTTTAAATAAACTACAGTATATAATAAACTAAACTAACTATTGGGCTCAAAGTGCATCAGAGTTCACTTCAATTAAGGACCAGAGCTGGAGGAGTTTTAGGGTTAGAGGAAACCTACACTGACACAGGGAGAACATGCAAGTGCTAACCACTCTGCCACCCTGTCTAGAAGTGTGAATATTCCCTGAGGAAGTATATCGTCTAAACTTACCATCGTCCGGTAAAAGAACCAAATACCTCTCTGAGAACTCACCGATACTCCTGCTTGCACTTACTCCGGTGCAGATTAAACATAATTCTTACTAGTTACTTCCTGAGTGGGCGTGGTCAGCCTGATTGACAGGTCCCTCAGACTGACCACGCCCCCTCTCGCCCGGTGGTCTCTGGAGGAGGGTGTCCCATGTGTGCGACAGTAGGAAAGCTCCCTCGTCCCGGTTGATGTCGTTTCCCTGCCTCCTGATTTCGAAGGCTTTGACCCAACGTTTGTGTTTGTTGTTTTTGGATCCGACCCGCGCCTCGTCCCAGTCCATCATGGGTTATTTCTCTTCCATTGATCTAAAATGGCTGATTTGCTTGTTTTTTTCCTTTCCCGAGTGAGTCTCCTTTTCAACATCCTCGGATTTGAAAACAACAAATACAAAAACAACATGAGCTGATAAATGACTAAAGCGGGCGCCAGATCTGAAAACATGTCAACAAGGAAATGGGTTTGTTCACACTGAAGGTATAAAGGTGAGACAGAAGGACAAAAACTAGATCAGAAGATATAATGTTTTTCATTTATCCTAATCCCTCCTCAGTCCATTATGAAACTAGAAGAGACTGTTTTATAAATGTCCTAGAGTTTATGTGTCTCTGAGTCTCGGACCTGATCCTTTGAATGAGTGAAGTTTGTTACATATTTTCAGATCCACTTTTGATTCAGAAACAAAGTGCTTACTTTCATGTGGTAAACCAATTAAATGTGAAACCAGACCATTATTTTCTACCAGAATTTAGCCAAAAATTGTATTTATCAGTGTTTCCTTTTGCTTTTATCCATCTCTCTCTCTGATCTGTCTGTGTTGATCTTTTCTTTAATCTATAAAAGTCATTTTAGTTTTTGAGTGAAAACCTTTTACAGTTCAGATATTTTACTGACACTTTTCTCTGAATACACCCACACATCTAATCTGGTCTTTAAGCATTTTAACTTAAAACTAAATTAACTCTTTTGAATCATAAACAAGTTAACACTGTGTCCTTTTCCTCTGGATCAGGGATTCGCCTCCACTTTCACCGACAAAACTGCATCTGACTCTCCAGACGCACTGCAGCTGCTGAAGACCCCGGAGACAGAGCAGAGTTCAGAGATCACAGAGTTCACAGAGATCACAGAGATCACAGAGATCACAGAGATCAGAGAGATCACAGAGATCACAGAGATCACAGAGATCACAGAGATCACAGAGTTCACAGAGATCACAGAGATCACAGAGATCAGAGATCACAGAGATCACAAAGATCAGAGAGATCACAGAGATCAGAGAGATCACAGAGATCACAGAGATCACAGAGTTCACAGAGATCACAGAGATCACAGAGTTCACAGAGATCACAGAGATCACAGAGTTCACAGAGTTCACAGAGATCACAGAGATCAGAGAGATCACAGAGATCACAGAGATCACAGAGATCACAGAGTTCACAGAGATCACAGAGATCACAGAGATGACAGAGATCACAGAGATCACAGAGATCAGAGAGATCACAGAGATCACAGTGATCACAGAGTTCAGAGATCACAGAGATCACAGAGATCACAGAGATCACAGAGTTCACAGAGATCACAGAGATCACAGAGATCACAGAGTTCAGAGATCACAGAGATCAGAGTTCACAGAGTTCACAGATATCACAGAGATCACAGAGTTCACAGAGATCACAGAGATCACAGAGATCACAGAGATCACAGAGTTCACAGAGATCACAGAGATCACAGAGTTCACAGAGATCACAGAGATCACAGAGATCACAGAGATCACAGAGTTCACAGAGATCAGAGAGATCACAGAGATCAGAGAGATCACAGAGATCACAGAGATCACAGAGATCACAGAGTTCACAGAGATCACAGAGATCACAGAGATCAGAGAGATCACAGAGATCACAGAGATCAGAGAGATCACAGAGATCACAGAGTTCAGAGATCACAGAGATCACAGAGTTCCAAGAGTTCAGAGAGATCACAGAGATCAGAGAGATCACAGAGATCACAGAGTTCAGAGATCACAGAGATCACAGAGTTCACAGAGTTCACAGAGTTCCAAGAGATCAGAGAGATCACAGAGATCACAGAGATCACAGAGTTCACAGAGATCACAGAGATCACAGAGTTTACAGAGATCACAGAGTTCACAGAGATCACAGAGGTCACAGAGGTCACAGAGATCACAGAGTTCACAGAGATCCCAGAGGTCACAGAGGTCACAGAGGTCACAGAGATCACAGAGATCACAGAGATCACAGAGTTTACAGAGATCACAGAGTTCACAGAGGTCACAGAGGTCACAGAGGTCACAGAGGTCACAGAGTTCAGAGAGTTCACAGAGCTTATACAAAAACAAAGACTGGAAACAAACTCACTGATTATCTGCGGTTTCTACTTTGATCCCGATTGGGTCATGCTGATTGTTTTCCTCTGTGGGTGCTGCTCTGTGGGTGCTGCTCTGTGGGTCCTCCGTGGGTGCTGATCTATGACCCTCTGCTGCAGCAAACCCACAGAGGGTGGTGGGCCCTTTAGAGGGTTAGTCTCCTGCTGGTGTTTAGAGGGTTAGTCTCCTGCTGGTGTTTAGAGGGTTAGTCTCCTGCTGGTGTTTAAAGGGTTAGTCTCCTGCTGGTGTTTAGAGGGTTGGTCTCCTGCTGGTGTTTAGAGGGTTAGTCTCCTGCTGGTGTTTAGAGGGTTAGTCTCCTGCTGGTGTTTAGAGGGTTGGTCTCCTGCTGGTGTTTAGAGGGTTAGTCTCCTGCTGGTGTTTAGAGGGTTAGTCTCCTGCTGGTGTTTAGAGGGTTAGTCTCCTGCTGGTGTTTAGAGGGTTAGTCTCCTGCTGGTGTCTCTGCTGGTTTAAAGGGTTAGTCTCCTGCTGGTGTTTAGAGGGTTAGTCTCCTGCTGGTGTGTTTAGAGGGTTAGTCTCCTGCTGGTGTTTAGAGGGTTAGTCTCCTGCTGGTGTTTAGAGGGTTAGTCTCCTGCTGGTGTTTAGAGGGTTAGTCTCCTGCTGGTGTTTAGAGGGTTAGTCTCCTGCTGGTGTTTAGAGGGTTGGTCTCCTGCTGGTGTTTAGAGGGTTAGTCTCCTGCTGGTGTTTAGAGGGTTAGTCTCCTGCTGGTGTTTAGAGGGTTAGTCTCCTGCTGGTGTTTAGAGGGTTAGTCTCCTGCTGGTGTTTAGAGGGTTAGTCTCCTGCTGCTCGGTGTTTAGAGGGTTTCTCCTGCTGGTGTTTAGAGGGTTAGTCTCCTGCTTGGTGTTTAGAGGGTTAGTCTCCTGCTGGTGTTTAGAGGGTTAGTCTCCTGCTGGTGTTTAGAGGGTTAGTCTCCTGCTGGTGTTTAGAGGGTTTAGTCTCCTGCTGGTGTTTAGAGGGTTAGTCTCCTGCTGGTGTTTAGAGGGTTAGTCTCCTGCTGGTGTTTAGAGGGTTAGTCTCCTGCTGGTGTTTAGAGGGTTAGTCTCCTGCTGGTGTTTAGAGGGTTAGTCTCCTGCTGGTGTTTAGAGGGTTGTCTCCTGCTGGTGTTTGTCGTTAGTTCCCTGTTGTTTAGAGGGTTGGTCTCCTGCTGGTGTTTAGAGGGTTAGTCTCCTGCTGGTGTTTAGAGGGTTAGTCTCCTGCTGGTGTTTAGAGGGTTAGTCTCCTGCTGGTGTTTAGAGGGTTAGTCTCCTGCTGGTGTTAGTGGTTAGTCTCCTGCTGTGTTTAGAGGGTTAGTCTCCTGCTGGTGTTTAGAGGGTTAGTCTCCTGCTGGTGTTTAGAGGGTTAGTCTCCTGCTGGTGTTTAGAGGGTTAGTCTCCTGCTGGTGTTTAGAGGGTTAGTCTCCTGCTGGTGTTTAGAGGGTTAGTCTCCTGCTGGTGTTTAGAGGGTTAGTCTCCTGCTGGTGTTTAGAGGGTTAGTCTCCTGCTGGTGTTTAGTAGGGTTAGTCTCCTGCTGGTGTTTAGAGGGTTAGTCTCCTGCTGGTGTTTAGAGGGTTAGTCTCCTGCTGCTGTGTTTAGAGGGTTAGTCTCCTGCTGGTGTTTAGAGGGTTAGTCTCCTGCTGGTGTTTAGAGGGTTAGTCTCCTGCTGGTGTTTAGAGGGTTGGTCTCCTGCTGGTGTTTAGAGGGTTAGTCTCCTGCTGGTGTTTAGACTGTCTGCCAGTGTGGAGCCACAGTAAATACATTTTCCTCATTATTATCAAAAACAGCAGGATTCAAATATATTCCGAGTCTTCACAGAAAAGCACAGCCTCATCTGAACCTCAGCGAATCCAACATCTCATTAGTGAGAGAGACTGACGAGGGCTCAGGGAGTGTTTGCTCTCTCTAAGTGTGTGGGTAAAGGAGAGTCCTGCTGTGCATTCTTAACGTACGTGCGGCGTTTCCCCGTCCGCCGTCTGCACATCGGCAAAGTCAGATCTGGTAAACTCCATCCAGCGGGACCACGGCAAATTGTCCTCAAATATTGATTCTGTTGCAGTGAAGCATGTAGGATGAAAAGAGAAAGGGCTCATCCATAAGCCATGAAACCTCAGGAGGAAACCAGCAGCGACTTAAAGGACACAGAAACTGTTTCAACACATTCAACTTTGGAACTTGTAACTATTGAACACACCTGGACTCATCCCATCATGACTGCGCCTACACAAATGTAATGTAACAAATGTGTGTGAATAAATGTGTGGGATTATGTTTGTAATGCTAAAAGTAAGTAAGTAATGTTTATTTATATAGCACCTTTCTCAGACCAGAGTCAAAGCGGTTTACAATCTGTGAGCATTAGTCTGTCAGTCCACACAGAGATGGGCGGGGCCAGAGGAGGCACAGAACCATTGTACAAAAACATTCATTAACAGTTTGTGAAGCTGATTACTGCTGAGAAGCTGCAGTGGAAGAAAGTCTCACTTCCTAACTGGACCAGAGCAGGAACCAGGCCACTGTGGTGAGACTGGTCTGACTCCGCTGCAGCTCAGGCCTAAAAATATTCCTTGTCAGTTTTCCCGAGAGGAGCCCAGTGCTGTCCAGGCCTCTGTAATGAGAGCGGCCCCTGTCCCCGGCTCTCCCGGGCTCCCAGCTCTGCACTGCTGCAGATTTATCATCGCTCAAAAGGACGTCTGGAACCACAGGGCCTCGTTCAGCAGGAGCGGCCCCCAGCGGCTCTCACCGGCCCCCAGCAGCCCCAGCGGCCCCCAGCAGCCCCAGCAGCCCCAGCGGCCCCCAGCTGCCTCACCTCAGGTCACACTTCACACACGCAGACACAGACAGTTCGGAAAAAGTCACTTAACTTGTGTTGGATCCTAAAAAATATATACGGTATTTGGAAAACTAGCTCCTGTGGACTCACCACCTGCAGAGGGTCAGTGAGGGGCTGGTGCTCTGTGAACTGGGTGCAGCTCTGACTGCCGCCCCCCCGACCCAGAAATGGATTAAGGGGAAGAAAATGGATGGATGGATGGAAAACTAGTTAGTAAGATACAGAGAAGACACCATGAAGACACCATGAAGACACCGTGAAGACACCGTGAAGACACCATGAAGACACCATGAAGACACCATGAAGACACCGTGAAGACACCATGAAGACACCATGAAGACACCATGAAGACACCGTGAAGACACCATGAAGACACCGTGAAGACACCATGAAGACACCATGAAGACACCGTGAAGACACCGTGAAGACACCGTGAAGACACCGTGAAGACACCATGAAGACACCATGAAGACACAGTATAATTTACAGCAGGGTTTCTCAAACTGGGGTACGCGTACCCCTAGTGGTACGCGGGCGCCCTCTAGGGGTACGCCAAAGAATCTGTGGAAAAAAAAAAAACATCTAAAAAAAAAAAAAAAAAAAAAAAAAATTTTTTTTTCACAATTTTACCAGGAAAGTCCCATTGAGATTAACTCATTGACAGCCATGGATGTCATTTGAGGACAACATTGTTTTTCAATCTTTTCCTGTCAGTCTGTGTCCCCTGTATCATACAGTCTGGGGTTTGGCTGTAGACAGTATTTTATTAAGCCAGCAGGTGGCAGCAGAACTCCCTGGTTTGGTCAAAGATCACTCTGAGCACTCTGAGCAGGAGAGACAGAGGTGAAGCAGACATGGAGTAATATAGTCAGGGTCAGGCTACATTTGGAGGCAGTTTGAGCAGTAAATGTGTCTCCAGAGCTGACAGAGACCATGTGGAGGGTCCTAGCAGCAGACCATGTGGAGGGTCAGGACAGCAGACCAGTGGAGCACCTCAAAAAAGCCACAGAAAAGTGGACTATTGCTAAAATTATCACTGAGTCCACACCAGGAGCCAGCAGCAAAGTCCAGATATGGTTACAGCGCACGCCGGACTAAACAGACGCTCTGTAGATGTAACCACATAAAAACACACAAACGCGTGCATAAACGCACATACATGCACGCCCAAACACACAAAGACACACAGCAGTATTCTGTTGCACTTATACTATAAGTATAAGTATTCACTTTGATTTATTGTCATGTATAGTGTTTATCATTTTAATTTTGTTATTCTTTGATTTACTCTTATTGACATAAATATAGTGCCACCTAATGGATGAATACTGGCCATTCTATCTGGCATAGTTTGTCATGGGCTCTACTTTCAATATGTACATTTTGACATTTTTTGGATGAGTACATTTTGAAATTTTTGAGCAACACTTTGTGGATGTGTGTGTGCCATAAAACTTATTATTTTACATTAAAAACACTTTCTCAAAACGTGTTGCTGTTTTCTAACATGTAAGATCCTGGACATGTTTGAGGAGATGCTAAAGTTAAACTAAATAGTTTTACAATCACTTTTCTGCAATTCGTCTGTTTTCACAAAAACCTAATTTTCTAATTTTTTTGTCTAAGACTGGTGCTTACTGGTGCTAGGTACACTCTCCTCTTTTCGACTGGAGATCACAGGAGAACGAAACAAACTAAGAACAAACTTCTTTTTGCTGCTGAAAGTAGACAGTCCTGTCTTTCAGACTCTGGTTTCATATTTTTCATAGCACACAATATTCTGTGAGTCTTAAAAATCAGTGAAGTCATAAAAAAATGGCTGGCAGTCAATGAGAACCTCTTTTTCGTGGACAAAAATTACATAAAATTACAGATGATAAAATAGTCACATACAGATTATACAACAGTAACACACAATTTCATAAAATTACGGATTATAAAAACAGTTACATTTCACTGATCTAAAAGCATTAAAGGAAATAAGATCAGATCATTTCTAGTCTTTTTGCAACACGTTCCATGTAGAAGGAGCAGTTTTTTTTTTTCCCAGTTCTGTGCAAAAGGAACAGAGAGCAACAAACGATCATTTGATCCAAACCATATGAACATGTCTCTGTGAGTAAACGGCAGATGTAAGAGGGCAGCAGAGCAAGCCTTAGAAACTAAAGTGCACCAGAGTCCAAACCTTCTGTGGACAAAGATCCCACTCCAGAATATAGCTCACAGTGAGGCTTTGCAGTTCGCAATGAATGAAACATTTAAAACAATTTTTTTTCCTATATTTAAGCGCAGTCTTACTGTTGAAACTGTGTAAAATATTACATTAAATATACTTCTTTAGGAATGAAACCTCTGCCTTGTTATTGATGAATACTTCGGCTTACTACGCTACTGTGTGGTGTTGGTCATTTGTGGTGGTACTTGGAGAGGCAAGTATTTTCTGAGGGGGTACTTGGTGTGAAAAGTTTGAGAACCACTGATTTACAGCATTGGTGAAAGAGAAGAGTGTGTGGTTCAAGGCTTTAGAAACACACACTCACTGTTCTCTCTGGTCTTTGATACACACACACACACACACACACATACACATACACGTACAACACACACATACACACACACAAATACACATGGTCTCTCTCTGGTCTCTCTCTGGTCTCTCTCTGGTCTCTCTCTGGTCTCTCTCTGGTCTCTCTCTGGTCTCTCTCTGGTCTCTCTCTGGTCTCTCTCTGGTCTCTCGCTGGTCTCTCTCTGGTCTCTCTGGTCTCTCTCTGGTCACTTTTCGGATCATCATTTTATTATGGATATCTATATGTAGAGGAGACAGTAGAGCATTGGCCTTTGATGCTGAAGGTCGTGGGTTCAAGCCCACTACGAGGGCTTGAACTATAGATATTTATTATTAGTTCAATGTGAAGCACTTTTGGTTGAATTGTGTTATATAAATAAAAGTATAAATATATAAATAGTAAGCGCCCATGCAGAGAGGGACCTTCTTCTGACTGCTCTGAACTGTTTTAAGTGTTTTAAGTGTTTTAAGTGTTTGAAATGAGTGATATTGTGTGAGAACAGGAGCAGATTGTGAGAATGGAGATAAGTGAGAGATGTTTGGGGAGCTGTGTTATTGTTCTGTGCTCAGTAATGATCCAGCTCCGTACGAAGAATAACATGTTGGACCATTATTATCTACGGCAGCCATTCCCAAACTCAGTAACACCGAGGCCCCCTTAAAAATCTGACGGGTCTGCGTGGCCCCCCAAAATTATAACCAAGAAGACAACATTAAGAATAGGCTCTTCTGGTTATTTTATTTTGGGGAAATAGCCTCTGCTACAAACATTGTAATACAAAAATGATTACAGTTGATTATTCAAGTCAAATAATGAACACAAATATTTTAATATTACAAACAAAACATTATAAATTTAACATTAAATAATTATATTATTTTTTTATTTTTTTTATGACCTCCCGCGGCCCCCCTGCAGTACCCTCGCGGCCCACCAGGGGTCCGCGGACCCCACTTTGGGAGACACTGATCTACGGCAATTACTGCAGAGTTCCAGAGGAGAGGAGTCTGAGGAGCCATGGAGCGCTGTGTATACACTGGATATATATACACATTATATACACACAGGATATATATACACTTTATATACACACAGGATATATACACTCTGTGTATACACTGGATATATACACACTTTATATACACACTGGATATATATACACTTTATATACACACAGGATATATATACACTTTATATACACACAGGATATATACACACTGTATATACACACTGGATATATACACACTTTATATACACACAGGATATATACACACTGTATATTAATGCATCATCTCAAGAAATGCTGCACACGTTGTTTATATTTTCAGTGATTTCATATTAAGTGGGGTCTAGTCGAGTCAGCCAGACCATGTGAGGAATGCAGAGCTCCCCCAGCCAGATAAGAGTTGTTTGGAGAAGGAGATTGATGTCAGACCAGACCAAGACCAGACCAGACAGAGTCCGGAGTCCAATGGGCTAGCTGGAGTACGCGCCTCCCAAAACCAGAAAAAGCTGGATCAGACTGGACCAGTCTGGGACCTGTGACGTCATCAGACTTTCTGATAGAAACTGCTCGGAGGAGATTTTCAGGCAGTCTGAGCAGGGATAGTTAGACAGGGAACATCGCAGAGCGCCTGCATGTCCCCTGCACATTTTTCAGGCCTGGAGGGACAGTTAGAATGGCTCAGCATAGGGTTAGTTTTAGAGAATTTAGGGCTCCGAGAGTTTTTGTATCAATATTTAATTGTAAAGAGAATTAAATGTTCTATTTTTAACTCCTGCATTCTTGGCCTTATTTCTGTATCAAATTCTGAACACGTCAGTCAAATCATTTTTTGACATCAGATGGTGACCCTTGACGTGATTTGATACAGAAAGAAGACGCAAGATGAGCTCAGATAGATAGACTGGGTCTGTTGGGTCTGGGGGCTCTCTACTCTGCAAAACACAGGTAAGCAGATACCATTTCTAAAATCTGCACATTGTTTTAAATAGAAGACAGAGAGATCTCGGCCCAACATGACTGCAGGTGTGGACAGACCCGCCGTGATGGGCGTTTTATCGGACGCGATAAAACAATAGTCAGGTTTATTTGACGTTTTACCTTGAGGGAATTTTGGGGTCCCCTCTAAAAAAACAAAAAGGGAAAACAAAGTCCACAAGGGTTTTAGAAGTGCAAAAGAGGCACACCGTTTTAAAGTGCAAAAGAGGCACAAGTGTTTAGTGAAATTAGAAATAGGGACAGTTAGGGTCAGGAAAAAGGGTACATTTAATTTAAACAAAAAAGCCAAGTATTTAAAACTGTTCGATTTTGACTATTGAATAATAATGATCTGATTAATGAGGAAAAAGAGAGCCACTTGGCTGTAAATACGAGTTTCCATGTGGAGAAATGACCAGATCAGTTATGGAAGTTCTCTTGTATTGTGATGTAATGTTTCAGTAGTTACAGAGGTATTACGAAAAAGATCCGGCTGTAC